ATATCATATACTATCAGAAGTAGTTGTATAGAATAGTATTATCAAGCGATTGTAAGTCAGCTTCCCATAAAGGCCCTTAATACTACTACTCTATACTATAGTATAGAGTAGTATAGAATAGTAGTATTGATGGTTCTTATCAAGCGATTTTAAGCGAGCTTCCCATAAAGGCCCTTAATACAAGCAAGCATTGATTTTGTATTTAATAGCTCCAAAACTAAGCTCTTATCACGCAATTTTCTTTTGTTCTTGATTGGGAATCTGAAGAAGACTATGCAGCTCTACTCAGACGTCATTTACAGCTAGAATTCTGTATGCAGGATTTCTTGATGCAATAAGTTTATGAGCATGGATTTAATTAGCATGATGTCGAGAAATATTTGCTTTTGGAGGGATGCAAATGATTACTTTACTAATTAATCTCATCTTCCTTGAGTAGATATGCATATGATACGCTTGGCTGAAAATAAAAGAATAAGAGGGAGGTAGGGCCAGCCATTGTGGCGTTAGAATGAGAAAAGGTAATTAACTTTAAAAGCAGCGTTAGTTTTACTTTTGAGAGGGAGGAATAAGAGGGAGGCAGGGCCAGCCATTGTGGCGTTAGAATGAGAAAAGGTAATTAACTTTACAAGCAGCGTTAGTTTTACTTTTGAGAGGGAGGGATATCATAGCGAACTTAGAAAAAGAGAATGCAAGAAATATTTACTAGCTAACCTAGTTCAGGGAGAGAAATACAGAGAGAGGGAGGAAGACTGGCAGCTTATTGTGCATGCCATATCTTATTTCTTTGGTTTCTGAAATTGTTTTTGGATCCTACGTTGTCATCAATTTCTGTTCATTACCGGATTGAATGCACACGGATTCTCTGGTTATCGTATTGATTAAATCAAGTTGCTTTGTTTCTTTTTATTTCACTTGAGGATTAAGGTTGCCTATGTTCAATAAGAACTCATATACTTATGAATCAACTTGCACTTACAATGATCAAATCTGTGTTAAAAAATTTTTTTTTACGATGCATACAAAGTATATAAAGTAATAGAAATACTTTGTCTCTATGTTGAATAGTTAGATATGATAACATCGCCTTAGCTGCTAAACTGCAAGTTCCGGGAGAATCACAAGGGTTTAAGCTGGTTTTTATCAATGTAAGCGGGATAACACGCACATCATTAAGCACGGTTGTAGCTTTATGGTATGATACGATACTAACTGCAATCTTCCCTGCAATCATGAAGATGAGTAAAAGTAGTTGAACAATAGGAATGTGGGCAGCTTTTGTTACCTGAATTTGAGAGATAAATAGAGCTCCGGACATATCGTTCTTGTTACTGTGTGTCAGTTGCCATGATTTTAGAGGGTTGGAGAGTCAAAAAATGGGATGGAAGTTCTTCTCATATCATACCTTCTTAGGAATCATCTGTATGATCTTATTTATAAAAATAGTTTTCAGTGTTGATTGATGGTAGGGGCCTGGGCATCCTTCAGCAGAGAATGACATTTTAGCAATGTTTGGTTGCATTTTTTTTTATAATTAATTCTAAGGGAATGGTTCATCTCTGTCATTTGATATTTCCAACTCTACATTTGATATTTCCATGAGGCGCATAGCATCATATAAGAAAATAACTTCTTAAGTGAGATTTCTAGTCATAATAGGCTGAGATTTGATTAATTCAAACTTCTGTTTTTTCCTTGTTGTCGCAGATGGTAGCTTATACATTAGCACTCCCGTTGATCCTATTTTCATCTTTTTGCCAATTTTCTGCAATGCGCGATTAAAGGTAATGAACAATGTAAGATGAGATGCGTTTCTCTTGCTGAAAGTAATGCGCGATTAAACAATGCCGGAAAAATTGTGGAGAAAAAATAGCACATTTCATTATGATTTAGTTCATGGCTAGTTGCTGTGTAAGGTTCTATTCGTTTACTAGCTATGTCATTTCTGAAATAATGCGATATTTTCTTTTTCACCGAAGAAAACTCCTTGACCACTGTATATAGTTACAGGCTTTTTAATTTTTTGTATGTGAGAACTATTGTTTAGCTATAAGTGGTGCTAAGCTTGTGACCATGCTTGCATGTTGTAGCGGGAGGTTTCTGTTGATGATATATTTTGTTGGGAAGGGTTGTATTAAGATTCTGTTTGATGCACTGTACTGAATGAAATGCTTCTGGTTGATATTTGTGATAGGAAGTGCTTGTACAAATTTAGGAAAAGCATTGGCTGAATATGATTTCAGCAATTTCAGAAGACCAACAACAAGAAAACTAGGAATATAACACACAAGAATACTTTTTTATTGAATGTTTTATGAAAGAAAATATAAGATACAAGTGGATATTCAATTGGAGAGGAATATCTGGCTCTCCCAAATCTTTAGACGCTGCTAGAACCCAAAACCTAAGAGAGATCTCAAATTTCAGTCAATTTCCAGATGTCCTAATTCTGGCAAAACATACTACTGAATACATAAAATTCAAAAGGAAATTTCTAAACAGCCCATACTTTGAAATTTTCCTCATAACTCCCTAAAAAATCCTCCCTAAACATCTATATTGGCCCCTGCGTTTCGAGCGGCAGGGATGTAAGGCGGGCTCTGTTTCGCCTCGCTTAGAAACGGGTCGGTCCAGTGTATAGGCTGGCTGGGCCGATCTAACAATACCTCCCTCCCAAGACCCGCCTTGTCCACAAGGTAGAAAGATGTCATGCTCCTCAGCTTCCTCGTCATCACAAACGGTGAGAACCTAAAGAGTTTGGTTCTTGTTTCTGTGTCTCGATGTATACCTCGCCTCACAGCTAAAACGGAGCCCTTCGTCCTCTTCTCTTGTAATTCCATTTCTTTGAGCTTCTTGAAGTTATTTTCGGGTCTTCAACTACCATATTCTCCTTTTAGGTCTCCTGAAAAGTATCCAGTGTCGACTCCTTAGGTGCCAAAAAAGTGGTTGTCATCCGGTACAAGCCTCCTGAGCTGCTTCCTCCCGCTCCTCTCTCCAGGTAGCTCTGATCCTCCACCAACAGAGCTAGCTTTATAGCCTCTCCCTAGTCACGAGACCTCATCACTCTAACCGCTACACGGATCTCTGGTTTCAGTCCCTTCATAAAGTTCCTCTCCAGTACAATCTCTGGAAGCTGATTGGCGAGGTACTCAAATTGATTACGGTACTCCACCATTGCCCCCTCCTGCATCAAAGATAAGTACTGTTCATAGAAGTCCCCTCGCCTGCTAGTTTAGGAATATTCCAACAAGCAGTCCTTAAGCTCCTTGGTTTGTATTGATCGCCTTGTATTCCTCCACTAGTACCATGCTAAAGACTTACCTTCCAAGCACATCCCAGTTGTTGTCAGTCTCTTCCCCTATATCAACCTGTTGACGGTAAAGTACATTTCCACCTTATAGATCCACCCATGGGCATCATCTTTCTTAAAAATAGGCATCTTCTGCTTTCTCACCCTCAGATCGCCTCCGTTCCCTTCATAATTTCCCATTCCTACATGGTTTAAAAAATCGTTCGAGGCGCACACCTTAAGGATCACCTCGAACTAAGGCGCACAATGAGCTCCTTGAGGCTTAAACCTTGCTAGTGCTAGTGAGGCTTACGCCTTTTTTAAATGAGGAACACGCCTCAAGGCTTAATGCCTCAAGGTGTTTCGAGGCAACATCTCATTATAGTTAAGTTTTATATTTTTTATTATATATTATTATTAACAATATATATACTTTATTCTATTATACAAAGAGAATAAACAAATTAGCTATCGGCAACTGAATAAGGTTGAATGGTTGTGTTATATTTAATAAAAATTTAAAAGAGAAGCACTTCAAATTATAGAGACAAATAACTGTTGATAAAATAAATCATTTGGTTTTTAATAATATATTTTCTAACGATGAATGAATAATAACAAAAAAAGAGTAATATGTTTAAATTTGAAAATGGAGACATGCATTTGATGATGAGAAGAATGAAAATTTATATTATGTTGAATCCAATGTTAATTAATATGAGAGTTAAAATAAAGGTTATAATTGATGAATATTTAGAAGATGACAATGTGTTAGAATTTGAGAATGATATAATTATTACACGAGGGCTATTATGAAGAATATGAAAGTAAGAATGAGGCTGCCGTGGATTCTAATATTTATGATGTATTTAGAGTGTGCAACTGCCTTGATATGCTTATATTTGCGTGGAAAAGTGTGCAATTGCATTAATGAGCATGCAATCACCTTGACAAGCATACAATCATCTCTAGAAGCATATATTCATATGAGAAGCATGTAATTATCTTGGGAAATGTGCTACTACTTCAAGAAGCATGCCATCATTTAGAAGCATTTAAGTACATTGAAAAGCGTATAAGTATATTGTGCAAATACTCTAAAAAGCATGCGAGCATACAATAGAGATGCTTCGAAAAGGAGATAAGTATATTGAAAAGTATGCATATACATCATACACATGCATTGAAAAGCATGCAGATGTATTGTGTAAGTACATCAAAAAGCGCATGTGTGTATTTTGAATTAGAGAAGTGAGCTATGCATATGCATAGAAAGACGTGCACTCCATCTAAAAGAATCAATGATAAAATTAACTTAGCCACATGTGCTCCGATAAATGCATCAAAGTCCTAAATTTAAGGTCTAAGAATGTTGTGCGGGCCAAAATAAAATAATTGAAATTTGAATTCACTCCGTTATGAGAATCTTGCTACCATTGTTGAAAAAAGAATATCCATTTTTGAAAATTCATACTCTCCTTTAAGTGCAAATTCAAGCTATTATTTTTATATGATGTTTCTCGAGCGAGCCACTCTACCTATAAGATATGTTCTAAGACTTAATCCATTCAATTAGATTATTTAATGGAATCTTGGACCTCACTATAGTTTACCTTCTCTTGGAAGTTTCTTTACTGAACTTGTAGGATCAGTTAGGGATTCTTCAACATATTCTATCAGCCTTCCCCATCAACAAGAGGCTATATAAGACCAACCCATAAAGGATAGTTGTTGCTTGTCAATTTTATTAAGGCGACTTAACTCAGCATGTTAGGATGCGTGAATGTGTTTGAGAAAGAGTGGGAAGTCATGGTGATCGTATTGTTTCATAAAACTAGAGACGAGGGAGAGCTAGGGGTGTAATTGAGTCAAGTTGACTTGTGAGCTAGCTTGATTTCAACTTGATAACTGGCTTATGAGCCGAGTTCGATGAGCTAGTAAGCCAAACTTAAGCTAGCCTCGAATTAACTCGTCAGCACATGATCTAACTCGTTTAAAAATAGTAATATTAAATATACTTAAAATATACAAAATTTTAATAAGTTTAGCATAAAGTTGCTAAAAATATTTAAAATTTATATTTCTCTTCATGTAAGTGTTTTCTTATCATTTCTCATTGAATTTTTTTCTTTTTACCGTTTATTATAATAACTCCCTGAATAATAATGATTTTGTTCTTTTTATTATAAATGTTAGATTGTGAGCCCACTCAAACTTATAAAATTAGGCTAGAGCACGAACTCAATTAATCAATCTATTATCTCAAGTCAACGATAACAAGTTCGACTCGACTCATTTACACCCCTAGTTACAGCACAATGTCATATGGTATTGAGTTATATGGAGAATCACCTTTGGTTATTCTAGCATTGATATAATGAACAGAATGAGATTACAGAAATGAGGAGATTATAGCACCTACAGATGGATCATGCCACTGGAAAAAGGGGAAAACAGTGACGAATTGTTCTATTCCTTATTGAACTAGGGCTGATTTCTTTATTTACCCAACAACAACATAAACTATTGTATTCACTATTCAGGTCCTTCCCAACAAGAGTTAGTCTGATAACAACCGCGAACTCTCTTTAAATTTTACTAAACCAACCAACAGTACTAGGGTACATTCCTCTAACCGCAAATCTTTATGATAGTAACCACAAAAGATTAAATTTACCCAAATGAAGCACTACCCGTCTAACCAAACTTTGGTAACTTTGTGAAGTAAGAAAGTCAACTTCTTTCTCTCTCATGCCATGAGTTCAGCTAATGAAGCGAAACTCATACAACCTGGGCATGTCAAGAGCACAAAGCATGCTTCCTCACCAATTAAAAATAATGATCCCAATATCCATTCTCATGCACTGCAGTTATTCGATCATAATCACTCACCTCCCACTTAATGGTAATTAGTACTTAGCCTCCCACTTAATGGTAAGTAGTACTTAGGCACAATAGCAAACCAACAACCAACTCCAACAATAGTTTCTATTTGTGCCAAAACTTAGATCAACATTATAGATTGTTATCACATAACTCTACTACATAAGCACTCTAAAGTCAACTGAAGTAACACACTTGAAGCTGATATAACAAGCAAAGATTTCCTTTTTAACAGGAAGTTGAGATTTTTTTTTTACATGTTGGAGCATTTTGATCTTATGAAGCAATGAATAAAGGATTTATGCCTATTTTTTCCCATCCTAAAAGAATAAGGTCTACTTAGCTGCAAGAAGATTTACCTAAAATAAGTTTAACACCTCATAAAAGACAGTAGGAATAAATGGAGGATGATAATTCCTAAATCCGATCTGAAATATTTAATTTGAGGCTAATGATGATAAAGTTTCTAGTTTGGAATACGTGACAAAGAAAGAATTCATGTGGAAACTATTGGATTGAGTATTTTAATCATATGCACTGGATGCACTGGATCAGAGACCTATTCGTGTGGAGATAGCAAGGAAACTCAGTTACATAAGTTTAATAGTAATGAGTTAGCTAGTGGATCTCTGCTGAAGCTCGTAAGATTTTCAGAGGAAGCAATACATTATAGAAAAAAAGTGGATAAAGATGTATGCTGTGGCATGCATGGGTAAAATAATTGAACTCGTGAAACCAACCAGACAATCCATATGGTGAAATAAATGGCATCATCAATTGTCTTGTGTTGTTTATTTTATAAAAGGGAGTACATGGAGCAGTGATTAGGCTGACTTTTATGACTTGAGGTCATATTTTTGAATTATGGAAAGAATCTTTTTGATGAGGACATCAAAACATGGAAAGTTTACTAGAGGCGTGGCCGGCGATCTATGGCCACGATTACACCGCTCTACTTTTGATTTTCATATTTATTATTGATGTATTAATTTTATTTATGAAGTTTTATTATGCTTTTCCATTTTTTCCCTTAAAGGCTTAGGTATGTGTAAGCCCTAGGGGCATAGTAGTACTTTGTATTTTCTCATTGTAGGGACTATTTAAAGCCTCCCTCTTCTTCTTTGAGGACTAATGATGAATATGAAAGAAAATTTCCTGCGTATTGCTCTCTTGATGTGAGAGTTTGTGAGTCTTGGAGAAATCCCTAGGAGAGGGAAATCGGATTACCCACCAACCTTGGAGACGGCCGGGTTCGTGGTTCTTCTTACTTACCTTTCTTTTGTTCCTTTTCCTTCCCTTCCTCCTCCTCCATTAAGCCACCAACCACCCCATCTAATTCCCTTCCTCCCATAGCCGCCGACCCTGTCATTCCCCCACCCAACCGCCGACCATCACCCTAGTTGAGACCGCCGGCCTCCATCCCACTCCCCTCCCTCCACCTTCAACCCCCATTAATTCTTGCCTTTTATATAATTCCAGTTTTGGAAAATCTTAATTTCAAATTTCAAATCAATTTTGAAATTTGAATTGTTTCCTAAAATAGAAATCTATTTTAGGAAGGTTTCCTAATTCTCATCCAAATCAAATTCCAATTGGATTTGATTTAATTTCTTTGGTTTCAATTAAGGACCCCATCTAGGCAAGCATTAAAACCCCTCCTCAAAACCCTCTCCCTCTCTTAATGCCACCGGCCCGCCTAGCATCCCCATCCTAATAAATGCTCTCCTTTAAAACCTCCAATCAAATCCCAAATAGATCCCCACATGACCGGCCCCTTCCCTCTTCTCCCCAAATTCAAATTATTTTTCAATGTCAACCCATTAATTCCTCCTCACTTTAGGAATTAATTCAAGGTTTTCTCTCCTAACTCTCCCTTTCCCTTTACCAAGCCGCTGCCCCCTTTGGTTTTCCCAAATCCTATGCACAAATCTCTCCACCCATTAGCTTTTCCACATAGTCCTGAATAGCTCAATATCTGTCCAGAAATTCTGGACTGAGAGGAAGCTACCCGGACTACCCTAACTCAGCAATAATACTGTCCAGATGGGATCCCAGCTGCTGTTTACTCCCTGTTCATGTGTTGTCCAGGGATTCTAACCGCCTTCCTTGCTGTCTAGTTGTTTGGAGAAGGTTCCAACTGCTGCCAGAGGTTTTCCGGATGTTGAAGTGTGCTGTCCAAAGGTTCCTGCAGCCACGAACTGCTGTCCAAGCATTTGAGAAGGTTGAATCTTAACAAAGGGTGAACTCTTACCTCCTCTCTTACCTTCCTCGTTGATCCTTCCTTGTGGCTTTGATTGATTCATGCAAAATCTTGCAACGCTCTGCTAAAGCCTAGTATTTGGTAGGAATTGTGTGAGAGATCTTTCATAGCACTACTCTTATTGTTAGATTAGAGATTTCTTGTTGAAACTTATCTCGTATGCAACGTCAAGAATAATTGATTGTTATGTGGTTTTTACTTTTCGCAAGTAACTTGGCCTAAGCTTGTGTTTTATTTCATTGTTTAACTCACCATAAAGCTTAATTAACTTGTTCTTAATCATCAAGTGTGCAAAATCCTTATCTAAATCATAACTTCATATATGTCCTGCATCACTTTCTCTGATGTAGAGGTATGGCTGTAATCAACTTCTCTATTCATTTCCCTCTTTGGCTGGAAGTTTCATACTCTGTTATTCTTTTATGTATGGCTCTTAATTAATAATTATCACACTATTCTTCCCAAACACCTTTTTTATTACTTTTAATCACTACTATGAGATGTCATGAACATGTATTTTAGTCTTTTGAAATGATTATCATTTTTTGTTTTGTATAATCATATTTGATTTTTATTATTATGATACCTTCTTTACTAACCTTTTTTCCCTCTTCATCTGTGCTTTTAATGCTCTTAGAATTCTTACTGATGATTGTATGTTTCTTAAAAATGTAGAAGGGAAAAGAACAAGGAATGTTTAGGCAAATTGATGAAATTTTATTTAATAATGACTATCCAAGTTATCAGTGCCTGGTGTCACTTGCAGAACAATCTATGCAGTTGGTTTGTGAGGTTAAAGGTAACTTCTTTTATTTAATTTCACGAGACTCATTGTGGATTTAATCGATTATTGATCTATAGGAAATTGTTTGATGAAATAATGATGTGAATCAAAGAAGGAATTGCGTGCGGAAATTAAAACAAAAGTTAATTAAAACTTGCCAATACAAATTTATTACCAATAAAATAAATGATTAAATTTATTCTAGGTAATCAACTCGCTTAGGCGAAGATTTGCTTTGAGATAACCAAACAATTCATAACATTTCCAAATAAACGAATTACTTAAATGCTCATAACAAAATCCCACAATTAATAATGAAAAGGTTCACCTTGAGCACCCTCTCACTCGTTCACTCTTGGGCATTAGCGGAGAAGAAAGAACCACACGAAGATGGAGAGCACCACTATGGAAAAGGAGACGAAGGACTTCGTTACCGGAGAGGTAGCCTGATGTAAAACGTACATGCACGGATGATTGAATTAAGGAAGTTTACACGCTTAATTTTTAGAGCACAATAATTATAAGATTTATCTTGATGATAAACGACAAAATAAAGCGATAAGGTGATAAAATAAGCTTAGGCTAAATCACATGCGTTGAAGTTAAGATTGCAAACTAGTCAATTAATGCGACGTTGCATACATGATTGGTTTTCAACCATAAATCCCAATGCTAACACTAAGACTAGTCACTACGAGGCGATCCCTCACTCAACTCTTCTAATTACTAGGCTTTAACGGAGAAGAATTAGCAAGTTTGTCGTGAATCAACATATAACCACAAGTAGTAAGTGCACTAGGAAGATAAGAGAGTTTGGAGGAGAGTTTACCCAAAGAAGGGGAGTTACGATGTTCCGGTGTGGTCGATTATGAGCTTGGGGAAGAGCGTTAGGCGGCATCCATAATACAACATGAAATGACCTATATATAGGTCCCAACACAAAAGAAAATACAATGACTCTATTGCCCTCGGGGCTACAATCATGACTCAGCTCATACTAAGGGTACAATAGGAAATTCTAAGAAATAAAATAAAATGCATAAAAGAAATACAAAAGTAACTAGAAATATAAACTTTGAATCGTGGCCGTCGATCTGCGCTGTCTCCGGCGATACACATGTCTGAACCTCTGGTCGATGTCCACATCAGATTTGATGGCTGAATTCAAACTCCAAACCAGGGGTTCGGCGGGATCTACCAGGGCAATGAGGGGGTCGGGCTGGCTGAGAGGCGCGGGGGCTGTGCTGGGCTGTTGGGTGGTTTGGCCGGCGGTAGGGGGAGGAGCTGGGTGCTCTCGGCCGGCGGGATCTAGTGGGGGATTTGAGAAGGGCGGCTGCAGGGAGGTGGAAGACGGGCCAGGGGAGGGTTGGGCGGCTGGGATTTTGGTGGAGAAGGGGAAAACAATGAATCCGATTGATTAAAACCAAGAGCTCACTGATGTGGGCTGTTGGGTACTTCGGGTGGAGCCTCTCCTAGGCCTCCATTCTTTCTCTCAAGCTCTCAAGCTCTCAAGCAAGAAAAGAAGAACAAAATCTCAGAATTTTATTAATCAAACATTAAGCTCATACAATAGGAAGAGACCTCTATATAAAGGCCTCCAAAATATGAAAATAAAATGACTCACATGCCCACCGGGCTACAACAAACACTAAGCCTTCATAAGGGCAAAATAGTAACTAATGTTTGAAATAAAAAGATACATGGAAAATAACGTGAGATGACGTGGTAACATCAGAAATATAAGCTCCCAATCGTAGCCGTCGATCTACGATTCCTTCGCCGGTAAACATGCCTAAAATGTCTGTCGATGACCTCATCAAATAACTTCTCTTGTTCTGTTCTAGGGCTAAGGACAGCTACATTAGTTGAAAGTTTCTCCTCATATTTCAGTAAATACATCTTTAGAAAAACTGTAGGGGTTTTGAAACCTTAAATTAATTTTTGACAGAAAAAATGGGTAAACATACTCATGAGATTTTAATACTTTCTATTCTTTATATCGACAGATTATTTATCCACACACAAGTACAATAGAAACTTGAACACAGGCTCACAGCAACAAAATCCAACTCAAATATAGACTATTGCTAGTATGCCTATTAACTTTTAAGAACAACACATATAACCAAGTAGGAGCCTAATGATATTGTTTGAAGGAGAAAACATCAAAGAAAACCAACAAAGAGTCATCAAAACTATTTCTAATCTTGCAGATCAATAATTTTTCCGTTCTTGTGAATTGCAATTGCCTTGTTTGATATCTTTCTTTTCCATCAATTCAACGCCTTTATTTCTGCATTATGGAACTGCATTATCAAGTTAGATCTAAATAGATATATTCAGGAATTTTGTACATTCCGAAAAAACCCCGGTGCTTATAGTTTGATAAATCACACATTCATACTGCCTACAATTGCTGTTCACAGAAAAGATCGCAATTTGATCCATTACCAGAAGCCAGTCATTTGTATGTAGCGCTTGGCTTTCAAATTTCTTTTCTCTTTTAGGATTTACTTGGACAATTCAGGAATTTGTCTGTCTTAGGTTGCACTCATTTGTAACTTTGTTTGTTTCACAGTTTATAGGATTTCATCATTAAAAGCTCTCTCCAATATTTCTATATTTTAGCAGGTTGTTAGACTTTCTTTGTCATAACAGTAAACAAAAACTTATTGATTTATCAAATGACAGCATATTAATGTTTTTGACCGATCATTTGCTGCATAAAAATCAAAATAGCGCTCTAAAGAAAGCTTTTTTTTTTATATATCCCTATAATTTACAGATTCCCTGTTGTCTGGTTGCCAAGTGGGTCTTGTCTGGATGAAATTCATATATTTTTTTGTCTCAACTCAATTGAGTTCATTCTCTTGTTTGTTTCTCAGAAATTGGTTCTTTGAAGTTTTTCAGGCTGGATGATTCAAAGGTTTTAAGTTGGTTGTGCTGTAAGGTGCCACTTTCGCTTACTGCTATTCTTTTCAGATAGTTTCATATTCAGACTTTCTCTTTATTCTTTAACACCTTTAGATATAAAATATAAAGCTCTATAATTCATTATTTGCTCAAAGTAAACAGATACTGCGAACCATATACTTGCTAACTGCTATTTTACTTTATTTTTCTTATGCGTTCTTTGGGAAATTGCCTCAGCATTTTCTGAGTTTTGATTTTTTTTTTCTATTTTTTGTATGTCTGAGGTTTCTCAGCAGGATGTTGTGGGATGACTTCTCTTTAGAAGCCAAGCTTCCAGAGTTTTTTTAGGCTTTCTGCCCATCTTAGAACATGGAAAAGTGTATGAATATCTTGATAATGGTGAAGATAACTTATTACATAAACAAAATCTCATAAATGGCTTAAATTATGTAAATTAAAGATTTAATTAAATTTTTAACTTTTCGTAAGCACATTTAGCTTTATTTTTTATTTTTTGAAAGTTGCATGTTGCATTCATTAAAAGAAATAAAAGGTGTACATATCAAGTATGGAAACACTAACTGTCTTCCCGATCCAAAAAACAAAAGTGGGAAGATCTAAAACTAAGAAACTAACCATACAAGTATGACAAAACAAAAAGAAAGCAACAAAGACAAGGACAAGCACCTTTGAATCACAAGGAGGCCCACCCCGATTGCATGCCCTCGAAGATCCAGTAGTGCTTAAAGAACAACTCCAGAGGGGGGAGATACCTAAGTTAGGGGTCAACACGCTCGAAGGCGGAGAGATATCCCATTGCTCTGGCAGCCGGATAAGCACTACCTTCATCCTAAGGCATGAATAAGGGTAAGGCTTCATTGTTCCTCAAAGGGGACAAAGTCCTCGCCTGTGTCAGCTTGTAAGTTCTTCCTCCTCTTCCTAGGCAAGGTAGCAATCGGCCCAAGTTGCAGAAGTTGCTTCTCCATGAATGCTTTGGATGCCTTATGTTGTCGCTTGGAGAGATACACAGTCGTGGGAGAAGAATCTTGGGCTGGCTTTTCGGCATTGAACACAACCCTCTGATCATTGGGAGGGCGGCTGCTCGGGTTGACAATTCTGTTGGATATGTTTTCTAAATGTTGTCTTCTATCTGTCTCGGTTTGGGGAGGGCGGCGAGTCTCAGACTATATGTTCGGCCCACTAGCTGGAGGCACTATTGGGCCCTTCGGTTTTCCCTTCTTCTTGCGGGTGACTAAGTTCCAATTTCCCAACGATTCCTCATTTTGCTTCTCCCGATTAAGGGGACCGTCCATGGTTGGTTCACCCGGCCTAGCCAGGTGGTCATTGACGGGTTGCTGCTTGGACTGGGGCTGCACCTCGGGACGCCCAGCAGGTCGGGCATTGGCGGGCTAAGGTGAATAAGCTTGGTTAGTGGAAGGTCCCTTGGATGCGTAGTCAGGGCGGCAGCCCCCATTGACGTGCCCAATAGAGCCACACTCAAAGCAGAAGTTTGTGAGCCCCTCGTATTCAACCCGTTGGAAAAATCTGCCGTGGATCCCATTGATCCACACTCCCGACAACAATTTCTTCGAAATGTCAATTCGAACACAAATGCGTGCGAAGGATGATTTACCCCAAGTGCTAGTATGCGAGTCCATCCATAGCGGCTCGCCTAGAGCGTTGGCAATGCGGGTAATGTTCTTGATGTCCCAATAGATGACGGGGAGTTGTGGTAACCGAATCCAAATCGGTGAGCGAAGCCCGTGAAGCGAATTGGGAGAACAATTAGAGGTCCATTTGTCCATCCCAATTATGTTGTCCGCAATGATCCAAGGTCCGCTAGAAAGGACCGCGTCCCTAGCCTCAAGACTTTGAAAGATGCAAATAAAAGTATTGGAGGCGATGGTAACAACCTCGAACTCACTAAAGTGGAACCACCTGCGCTTGAGCTCACTCAGCAGGTAGGTGAACAAGATGCGTCTGCCCATTAGCTTAGCCACAATTGCTAAATCCAGCTTGGCAATTGTGGGCTCCGAAAATTCGGCCTCGGCCTCCACTCGCTTATCTTATTCGGCGAGGGAGTTTTAACGAACTAAGTTCCGGGGTAAATTTTGGAAGGCAGATGGGTTTGTAGATAAGACACTACCCAGAGATTTCGCCCTCATTTTGTGAGGACTTTATGATCTGAGTTCTGGTTTCCTATAGGCGCAAGCCCCTATAGTTAATTACCTCTCCCGATAACTTTTGATTAAGGCTAGTCATCAATCAGATACGTAGAGGATACGTGTTATCTGGCATATAGTAGCAACAATAAGTATGGAATTTGGAAATTGGTTGGAATTTGGATATTTGGAAAAGGTTTGAAAAGTTTGATATTTAAAATAGAAATTTCACCATCGTGCACTTGAAGCGGATGGTGGGGGAATGGATGATAGACCCGATCAAGATCCCATGGTTCTGTCATCTCGGGCCATCGTGGTCCCTG